CCTGCCCCCCCAGGCCCCCCCCACAGCCCCTCACGGCCCTGGGCCTCTCTTGCAGTACAAGGTGTGGGTGAAGCCCGGCTCCGAGCAGTCCTTCCTCTACGGCAACCACGTCCTGAAGTCGGGCCTGGGCCGCATCACAGAGAACACAGCGCAGTACCAGGGCGTGGTGGTGTTCTCCATGGCCGACGTCCCACTGGTGAGTGCCCTGTGCAGCTATCCAGGGCTGGGTATAAGGTGGGGTGGAAACTCTCTCTCACCTCCCCTCCATTCCCCCCAGGGCTTTGGGGTGGCTGCCAAGTCCACACAGGAGTGCCGGAAGGTGGACCCCATGGCCATCGTGGTGTTCCACCAGGCTGACGTCGGGGAATACGTGCGGAACGAGGACACGCTGACCTAAGGGAACCCCAGTGCTCTGGAGACATGAGCATTCCTGGACAGAATGGACCTTGTGCTGTACCCTCAGTGCAGCAGCAGTGCAGGGAGCTGCAGGGAGCCCACCCCCAGCAGGGTCAGGGGCTGGGAGCTGCTGACACAGAGCCTGGCACCCTCAGGGGTGCTTCCAAGGCAAGGAGGGGCTGCCCCTGTGCCCAGCCTGCCCTCACATAAAGCCTGTTCTTTCTCTAACAGTGCCTTTGTCTGGTGCAGAGCCTTGGGGTGAGAGCCGGGCCTGGCAACTCACTGGGATGTGACTGCAGAGGCAGGAAACACCAGGGGAGGCTGGAAGCCCAGGGGCTGAGCTCCAGGGAGGGGCAGACAAGGCAGGCATGTGCTAGGGCTCCCAGAGGGTGGAGGGGGGCAGGCAGGAGGCTATAACCACTCCTTTATTTGAGGTCTGGCAGAAAAAGACCATTGAGACACAAAAGAGGGGCAGGGATATCACAAACCCACCCAGCACACAAAGCTCAGGTGATCTCATCACACTTTTCTTCTGTTGGGATGACTTCTGCCAAGGCACAGCTAGAGCCAGAGGCAAGAGGGGGCAGATGCCCCTTCCTCCTTCTCAAGGCAGGATCCAGCCTTTCCTCCACTTCTAGCACTTCTGCCTACTGGAGGTTTGCACATTGAAGAGGCGCTTCAAGAAGTAGAGCTGCAGGACCCCAGAGAGGACAATGAGGCAGCTCTGAGCCATCGACCACCAGTTGACATAGTTGTAGTTGGACTCCAGCAGGAAGGAGTCAGCCCCTTTCCGCATCCGGGCAAAGTTGTAGAACCGCCACATGTGGAAGATGTGGAGCTGCAACTTGTGGATGCTGACCTGTGGGAGGGAGGGGAGCTGGGCAGAGCCCAGGGGTAGCAGAGCTGCCCACTGGGTTCAGCACCAAGTGCAGCTGCAGCTCAGCCAGCAGCAGACTCCCTTCTCAGCTCCCTAGGGAGGACGTGCCTGTCCCTGCTGTGCTGGAGTGCCCCATGGCCGCCTTGACACTCACCCCAATTGCCTCCAAGGTGTCGTTCAGCTCTTTCTTCTCTTCTGGCTGCTTCTTTTCCACATTGAAGCCTTCATAGTAGACACCGAAGTTGAGATACACCTGCATGAAGCCAAAGTGGTTGTGCTGGTTGTCCAGGCACAGCTGATAGAAACCTGTGGAGAGACATGGGGACAGCTGTTCCCGGAGGAGATGAGCTGCTGCCAGGCAGACCCAGCCCCAGGTTTTGGGAAGCACGGGCCGCTTGGGCAGGCTCAGAGCTGCAGCTCCTGCCTGCAGCTGGCAGAGAGGCTGGGCAGGACCTGTCTCCTTGGTGAGGAAGTCGATCTGTCCTCGCACATGCTGGGAAACACCAAGTCTGAAGCCACTGGGGTCACTGGCTGTGACCAGGATGTCCCTGTTGTTGCCAATCCCTGTTGCCCGCTGGACCTGGAGGCAGGAAACACAAAGGGCATTTGTGGGCCTGACTCTATACCTGGGGAATGGATGGGAGCCTGGGGGAACTATTGTGTGCAGGGCAGGGACCCAGGGGGGTTGGTCTGGGGTCTGTAGGGAGCTGCCCCCTTTGTTCCTGTGAGCTGAGGCTACTGGAGAATTCAGGACAGAGCTGTGCTGAGCCCAGGGCAGAGCTCTGTTCCAGGGGGGCTGATCTGCCCAGCACAGAACTGGGGGAGGAAGCTGCCAGTGCCAGGTACAGCCATGGCTGGTCTCTCTTTCCAGCAGCCTTGTGTAAACAGGAGATCAAAAGGCTGTAGTTTTCCCTGTGGGAAGGGAATAGAGCACAGGAGCAAGCAGATAGGGCTGTGCCCAAGACCTTCACATGCTCCAGCCACATGGCTTTGAGGGCTGTGTGACAGCCTCCAGCAACCCAGGGAAGGGCAGAGCCCCCCCCACAGTGCCAGGACACCTCACAGCTCCCTGCAAGGGAGCTCCTGGTGCCTGGAGCTCTCAACACCACTTTGTTTGAAAATAGGAACTTAAAAAATTATAATTAGTGGGATTGATGATGGAAATTACCTAAAAAAAGCAGTCCCTGAGATGAAGCATCCAAGTTCCCTGTCTTGACCAAGGACCTTCTGGGTCTGGAGTTTAGCCAGCACATAGTCCCTTGGGGGACCCTTCCCCCATAAGCCAGGTCACAGGATCAAGGTGAGAGGGGGTCACCCACCTCTGAGGAGGCAGCTGGTACCAGCCACCGCTCAGGACTGACCCAGCTCTGCATCCCCAGCCCCTCTGCAGCTTCCCAGCAGGTGTCCCCCAGCACCCACCTCGTAGCTGAAGAAGAAGTTGCCACTCTGGTGGGCAAACTGCCAGAAGCACTCCACAGCACCAGCCGGGATCACCACAGCAAAGTCATAGCGATCCGCCCCGCGGAAGAGGGGCTCCTGGCTGGAGCTGCTCAGGGGCTCAGTCTTGGGGCAGCCAGCAGGGCTCAGGAGCACCAGGAGCACCAGCAGCAGCATCCTGATTCCCAGGCTCCAGTGCTGCCTCCTGCCAGGGCAGGAGCCAGGACCGAGGTGGTGGGATAATCATTAACTGCCCTCCCAGCGCCAGGCTGTGTGAGGAGCGCGGCACCAGCTCCACTGGGTGAGCTCGGTGTGGAGCAGGAGCCACTCCAGCTCCTCCAGGTTGGAGCTCTCCCAGCTCAGCCCTTCAACATGAAGGGCTCAGCCCTGCCCAGACACACACGTTCACCCAGGGCTGCTCCAGTCCACCCCAGGGAAAGGGTTTTCCAAGCAGGAGGGGAGAGAAAGGTGCAGGCACAGCCAGGTGACAGGGAAGCTCATTCCAGCAGCTGCCCCTGAAGGACACTGGGAAAGCAGGTGTTTCCAAACAGAATTCTCCCCAACCCCAGCTCTGTGGGAACACAGCCAAGAGGCTGCTTTTAGAAAGTGCCCCCAAGACCTCCCCTGACCTTTGACTGCAACAGAAACTAGTCCAGAAACTTCTGCCTTGTGCCCACTGTGACATGGCATTACCTTGTACCTCCAGACATCATTGTCCCACCCCAACTGGCTGCCAACACAGCACCCACACCCCAGGGGGCAGAGGGGGAACCCCACATTCCCAGTGTGGTGTGTGCCCCAAACTGCTGCATCTCCACCTGCAGGGGTTCACACTTACTACAACTCTCAATAGCCAACAAGAAAGGAACTTTATTGTACAGAAGAAAGCTTGGACATGGAGCCTGGCTTTGGGACGTGAAGGCAGGGAACAGGCAGCACCTTCAGAGCTTACAGGGGGACCTTAGAAGTGCCCCTTAGACACAACCAAACTCAGCAAACACTTCAACTTTGAATACAGGGACAACCAATACTTTAAGTACTGAAACAAAATAATGTTTTTAAAGCCTCAAAAGCTGGGAGGGAGAAATTCCCACTCACAGACCAGCCACTGGCAAAGCAGAAATAAAAATAAAAACCAAGTGAACTAAAGTAAAAGCAGATCAGCTCACCTACATCTTCCTCCCCAGCATCTTTGGGCAGTGGGGGGACTCTGTGCTGCTCTCTCTACCACAGGGGTCTGAGTGCAAACACATCAAACAAACAATTCACAGTTCAGACCAGTAAAACACAAATATAACCCCTCAACGGGATTATCCTGCCATTCTGCAGCCTCTGAGCAGAGCAAACCATCACTTCCAGAGCCCACCGGGCTGCAGGTGGAAAAGCAAATCCCAACCCAGGCCATTTCCAAGCATGTGATCAGGCTGTGGCTCCTGCCACCTACAGGAGACTGAAACCTCTCGGCCGCACCCGAAAGAAGCTCCTCAGTCCCCAGCACACATCAGGGGTGAGCACAGCAGCCTCCCTGCTGCTACTGCCCCAGTCCAGCTTTCCAAAGGAAACAAAGGTTTCCACACGCAAGGTCTCACGACTTTACTGGATTCCCAGCTTCTTCATGGTCCGCCAGCGATCCTTGATCATCACGGGCGTGCGGTTCTGGAAGGGGTACTTCAGGCAGATGGATTTCCAGCGCCCTTCGCCAAACTTCTTCACGCCCTCTTTGATCCACTCGCTCTCCTGCACAGTCCATTTCTGCAGAAGAGCAGGGAAGCAGCATTCCATTAGCATCCAGGGGAGAGAACTGCAGGGGAGGTTGCAGCTCCTTCCTAGTTACCTTCCCTGTGTCCTCCGTGCTTGGAGCAGGGTGGGACAGCAGAGCAGCCATCAACACCTCACCCCACACTCACCCCTCACCACAGCTGAGCTCTCCTGATGGTTACAGGCAAGAGAAGTGCTCAGCTCCAGCACAAACTCAGGAGTCACTCTGCTTCCCATAGCACAACACTCAGCATGTAAAAGAGGAATTACTTTTGGAAGCAAAGGACTTGCTGCCTACAGCCCACCAAAGAGCCCACCAGTGCCAGAGAATAATGATCTGCAAGTTGGCACAGGTGAGGGGACACCTCGAATCCTGGGGTCAGTTCTGGGCCCCTCACCACAAGAGGGACATGGAGGGGCTGAAGCGTGTCCAGAGAAGGGCAATGAAGCTGAGGAAAGGGCTGGAGCACAAGTCTGAGGAGAAGCAGCTGAGGGAGCTGGGGGTGTCCAGCCTGGAGACAAGGAGGCTGAGGAGAGACCTGCTGGCTCTGCAGCTGCCTGAGAGGAGGCTGGAGTAAAGGGGGGTTGGTCTCTTTTCCCAAGGAAAAAGTGATAGAACAAGAGGAAACAGCTTCAAGTTGCACCAGCAGAGGTTTCAATTGGATCTTGGGAGCAATTTCTTTACCAAAAGAGTGGTCAGGCCCTGGCCCAGGCTGCCCAGGGCATGGTGGAGTCCCCACCCCAGATGTTAAAAAATGTGGACATAGCACTTGGGGACATGGTTTAGTTGGGATGGTAGTGGTGGGCTGATGGTTGGACTTGTTCTTAGAGGTCTTCTCCAACCTTAATGATCCTATATTTTTAAGTTCTGGTCTGCAGGACCCCTGAATATTTGTACTGGAGGGAAAGCAAACTAACTGAAGGAAGTAGGTACTGAGAGGAACGTGCTACATGGTGCACAACAGCACCGTGTGGGTGCCACACAGCTTTAGCCACCTCCCAGACTGGGCTGCTCCACCTTACCTGCTTCTTGGAACCAAAGACTGCAGAGGTGTGGCTGTTGTTCCCAAGCGATGCTGAAAAAGATGAGAGGGTGACACTTCACCATTTGGGTGGCACAGCCCTCAAGAACCTGCCCAGGCTCCGCACTGAGCTATGCTGACAACAAGCATCCAGACACAGACAGGAAAACCAATTCCTTTATCACTCCCTTTTCTGCAGCTGGAGCACATGCAGCCTTTCCAATCCAAGCCCCAGTTGCTTTCTGGGAAAGTTTTCCAACAAGATCCCTGTTGTTTTAAACCAGCCAGTCAGGAACAGGGCCATCCACCCAGGATGTGGCTGCACTTCATGTCCAGGCTGGAATGAGCCCTTCATTGTCTGCCCCTGCTCACCAGCTGGACTGGAAAATGGGTCCGGCTGAAAAGGCAAACTTGACCTTTATTTCATGGCCCTAGAGCAGGAAAGGAGCTGTGTTCCCAGTATTCTCCTCCTGTGAGCTAAGTGTGGGTAGTCTGAAACTCAACCAGGTTTTGGCCCATGTTTCAGATCAGAAGTACAATGAATGAGTCTCTCTGAGTCTGACAGCTACAGGTTTTCTTGGGCATTTAGGATTTCTGGCTTCAAAATTCATCTCCACAGAAGGAAGGAAGACACCCATGGCTGAGCCTCAAGCCCAGGATTATCATCAAGGAATTCCTGCAATAAGGGGTCTGTTCTTACCCGCATCTGAGAAGAGCTCATCCTCATCACTCCAACTGTCTTTTTCCTCTTGGCCATATGAGCTGTTCCACCTTCCTTGCAAGGACCTGAAACAGGCAAGCATTTACTTTGGCTGGTGGCTGGGCAGAGTGTTTCAGGGGGGAGGTGCAGGGCTCCCTGGAGCACAGGGATGAGCACACAGGGCAGAGAAACACACCCACAGAGCAACAGATAAATGCACCACCAGCTCCTCCCCTCCTGGGGGACAGATCCTCAGGAGCCCATCAGAAGGTACAATGTGCAACAGACACCAACACACCTAGAGGGTTGTATTTTATACCCAGCATTTGCTAAACAAGTGATTGGGTATTAACTGGACAACAAAACATGTGCAGCAAACAGACACACACAGCCGGGCTTCCCCTGCCTCCCTGTAGAACACAGACTTGCCAACAGCTCAAGGCAGAAACCTCCAGGTGTCCCAAGGAGCCTCTGGCTCTTACTGCTCCACTGCTGAGGCCAACCAAGATGCAGGGACCTCTCCTTGAGGTCAAGTGCCTCAGGGCCATCACCTGCTCCTCAAGCACAAACTCACCAGTTTAAATTCTGTTAAAATCAACTTCAAGAGGTTCACCCCTGGCTCTCACATCCAATGCAACTGAAGATGTTTATGATTAAATAACTGTTCCCCATTTTTACTTGAAGCTGCACTGTTGAGCACCTGTCTTGCACAGAAACATGTGAGAACCAGGTGCCAGCAGCAATGCAGAGGATCGGGTTTCCAGACAGATCCTGTTAGCACCACTAACAGCTCCAGGCCCCAGCAGAGGGTGGGAAGGCATCTCAGTCCCAGCACATGGCTCTGGAGGAGTGAACAGACCCTCATCCCATCCCCACAACATTCCCTGGCACCCTAAAAATAAACTCCAGACATATCCTGGGGACTGCAATGCCAGCTGCAACGTACTACAGGAAAAGCCAAAGGACATCAAGGGTCACTGCTCACAGGAAATGTATTAACTAAAATTCCCAGATAGCTAAAGGAAGCAGACAATTGTGGGGACGAAATCCCTTCTCAGAGTCATCTCTGTTGATGAGCTAAGCCCTGAGCAAGACACAGCAGCAGGGTGCTGCAGATGTCATGCCTGCTCACAGCGAGGTCAGCCACACATCTCTATCTGCAGCCCCTCTCCTGTCCTTCAGAGAGACAACCCATCTCCTGAGAGACACAGAGCACACCCAGGCCTCCTGACATTCTTAAGCCAGGTATCAAAGGAAATGGTGTTCTGGTTTTCTTTTCAAACACACCAAGCTCTCCTCAGTCCTCCCAGTTTTGCTCCTGGGATCCAGACATGGCTCCAGGCACCTTCACCAAGCAGAAGCGCAGCAGCTCAGGCATGTAAGCAGGAAGCTTTGTTACACCCCTTTAGAGCCTCAGGAGATAAGAGCCTCATATCAGTGTTAATTTTAGGGCTCTGCCAGTGAGCCTGCTCTGCTGTTTCCTTATAAACAGGAAAAAACCCTCACATGCCTCTGCCTGCAGCCACAAGGTGAAGCCACAAACTGAAGAAACAGCCAGATGGCTGCAACTAGCAGCTCCTTAACCAACAGAAGCTTCAAGAACAAAGAGCTGAAGTGAGGTCAGTGCTGCGTTTCTCAAGAGGTGGAAAGAAGAGTTTAATCTGTTCCACCAGATGCACAAACAACTCCTTCCAGCTTCAGAGGAAGGGGTTCACCTGTGACACACACACTGGAATCACCCACCAATACTACCCAAGCACCTCTGACTCACTGCCAGCAGAAGCTGGATCATGTTCTCCTCTCCATGAAGCAACCAGGAGAACTTAAGGACAAAAGGGCCTTTGCTTTGCCCAGTTCCACAGAGGCTGGTGGAGAGGGATGGCCAATATATCCATCCTGAATTAAAGAGAGAGGTTTTGTAATTCTCATTACTGAGGTCAGCTGCAAGCCAAAGCACTGGGTGCAGATTAGAATACAGCACAAGAGACAGGCTCCATACTTGGCACTCTTGGCAGAAACAGGCTGGTCATGCAGATTCTGAACAGGTCTGGAAGCAGAGGATACAACTGGCTCCTGGGAAGAGTCTGGGATCTCACTCGACTCGGTGCACTGGCTGTCTTGCTCCATGACTAGTTTGCTTATGGTCAACAAGCGTTTGCCCTTATGGGATCTTTCAGGAGGGTCTGAGATTTCAGAATCTTGATACTCCTCTTCTCTCCGACTCTTGGTTCTGTGGGATACAGAAGGAGACAGTTGCCTGGGGAAAGAAAAGTCTGTTTCGTCCAGTTTGGTGAAGAGCTCATCAGAATCCTGGGAGTCCGACAGAATCTTGAAAGCTTCTCTCAGGACAGAAATCCCGTAGGTGGTTACAGTTCCAGAGGGCTGCCTACAAAACAAACACAACTCAGCAGGCTGGAAAGATTTATCACAGCATCACAAACTGGCTTGGATTGGATGAGAGCTTAAAGATAACTTAGATCCATCCCCCTTCTATGGGCAGGGACACTTTCCACTAGACCAGGTTGCTCCAAGCCCCATCCAACCTACTCTTGAACACTTGCAGGGATGGGGCAGCCACAGCTTCTCTTGGCAACCTGGACCAGGCTCTCATTGCCCTCACACTAAAGAATTTCTTCTTCCTATCTCATCTAAATATCCCTCTTCCAGTATAAAGTCATTCCCCCCTATCCTATCACTACGTGCCCTCATAGGGCCACCAAGGTGGCTCCAAGCCACCAAGGTCAGGCTTGTCCCTACTGTGTCACCTTCAGCAATGGGGTGCGAATCAAACCTTTTGATAAGGGCCCTCCCAACCCTTCAGTCCACATCTCAAACCAAGCCACCTGCCCATGTCCCAGGCCTGATACTGAAGCCTCTGGGGCTGGCACAGGCAGACCCACTCAGGCTGACACCGGGGGAAGGTCAGAGGTGCCTGGAAAGACCAAACTACCCCTTGGAAGAGAATTGCTGCTTCACCCAGCGCAGGGCCAGGCGCCTCTGCTCACCCTTCCGGGTCCCTGAAGGACACTCCTGGGAGTTCTGCAGCTGCTGCTGCTTCTTCAGGTATTTCCATAGGCTCAGAACCATCTTCCAAGATATTATCTGCTACTGCAATATGCTCGGGAGTGGCTGCTGGGTCAGTAGCTACTTCCATAGGCTGGGGAGCTGCTGGGGGGTGGTCTGCTCTTCCTGCAGGGCTGGGGGCTCCCTTGGGGTGTTGTGCTGTTGCTGCAGGGTCTTCTGCCCTTTCTTCAGGGTTGGCAGCTGCTCTGGGGTCTTGTGCTGCTTCTGCAGGCTCTGGGGCTCCTGCTGTGCCCTGGGCCCCTCCTAAGGGCTCTGGAGCTGCTGCCTGCTCCTTCAGCAGGCTCCCCCCTGCAGGCTCAGGAGTCATCACAGATTTTTTTGGTTCTCGAGTGTGTTCTGAATTCAAAGTCTTTTTCATGATCTTGGACAGAGAAAGAGCACAGAACCATTATGGACACAACTCCCCCGCTACCATCCAATTTTTCCCCTCCCAAACACATTGTAAGCTGCTACTTGCACCTCAATCATGCACAGAGCTCATGTTTATCAATTAACACTTGTTACATGGCTTGAAAAATGTGTTCAGCTGTAAAAAACGTTCAGGAGCTGACTGAATTTAAAGTATTTTGGCTTCAACCCACGACATTAGGCACCTAGAACCTGACTCAGTCTGGCACAGACAGCACAGAGAAGCCAAATTCTGTTCTTTCCTGGCTTTGTGGCAAACTATCAGCTCTCCCAAATCCACACTTCATGCCCCTTCCCACTGCCCCTACCAGGGCAGGGATGGGACCCACCGTGAGCAGCTGTGGCTCCGAATCATCCACGTAGGCCTTCAGGAACTGGAATATGTTATGCTGGAAGTTCTTGTAGGAGAAGTTTTTGACCATGGGATGAGAGAAATTCTTCTCCCGGATGAGAGTCAGCAGCTCATTCTTGGTTTTCTAGAGAGGAGGGAGGAATGCTCTGCACAGACACGAGGGAGGAAGCACCACCCAGAGGAGCCAGGCTTGGCGCCTTGCCCATCTGACATTTTTCAGGCCCAGCCAATTTACAGGGAAACAAGGTGGGAAAAGGCTGGAGGAGCAGGGGAGGTATCTTGTTTCCATAGCTCCCAGTTTTTGCCCCAAAACCCCAGATACTCCACTGCCCACAGAGCGGGAACAGGACTCCTGCCTTGGGAACCAGCCCTTCCTGGGAACCCACACTCCTCACATGAGCCAGGGTTTGCCCAAGGCAGAGGAGGAAGGTTAGTACCTGGAAAGCTCATGAAGCTCTGTGAGGGCAGGTGAGTGACAGAGGGAGCTCCAACATCCTTTAGGAACACTTGACACTGAGGGTCCACCTTCCACAGGGACTCCTTCCATTCCCTCACCCTTCCTCCCTGTTCAGGCTTCCCCAACAGCCTCGCCTCCAGGGAAAGCTCATGTGCTGTGATACAGGGCACAAACACCCCTCCCCAGAGGACAAAGGGCCCCCCCACAAACACCCCCACTCCCCAGCACCCCACAGCCCTCACCCAGGCACTTTGTGTCCCTGCAGTCTCACCTGGCTCTTGGGCTCCTTCCCAAAGTGCCTCTTGACAATTTTTGAAGCTTTATCAAGCTCTTGGTTTTTGATGCAGACAATAACAGCCTAGAGAAAACAAACATCAGCATCTCTGGTGACACAGAACTGACCACACTCTAGATCAGCTTTGGAAAACCTCTCCAGCAACTGAGCATGTCACAGGTCACAGCTGAGCACCAACTTCCAGGGAAACACCCTCTGAACTGATTGACAGGGCAGGACACACACTGAGGAGATGAGTTTTGTGTGCTAAGGACAATATTCTACACATGAGGCAACTCCCACTGTCACTTACACAAGACCTTTCCGAGACAAAAGTTGAACAAAGTATTTATTGGAAAAGGGCTTACAGCTTCCTTCACCATCTGCTGAACAGCCTCCATCGTCTTCTCAGCCACAGAGAATTCCCTCTGGATGAGTTCCAGGACACCAATGGCAGACTCCAGAGGGGTGAGCTCTGACTCTTTGTCAAAGGTGCAATCTGGAAGAGGACAGAGCTGGGGGCTGGTGAGGGGTTCACAGTCAATCAGGCCCCACAGGGAGGGGGCTACTGCATTGCCTCAGCTTTGCTACAAACTCTAGGGCTACTGAGGACGAAGTGAGAGGGACTGGCAGGCTGAATGGCAAGGGGCAAAGCCTCAGCACCTCCTCCAGGCACAGAATGCTACAGAAGCAGCACATGACGGCAACAAACCGCTCCAGGGGGAACTTCAGAAGGCACGAGGCCGAGCAGAGGTGCCAAGGCTGGTATGTTCGGATAGCAGGACAGCCCTGGGGTTGCCCACACTGCTCTGGGCCGTGGCAGCACAACACAGACCCACCCCTCACCCTCAGGGGAAGCCCCTACGGCGCGGCCCTGCCCTGTGCAGAGGCACAGCTGCCAGGAGCCGCAGGGACACTGCAGCCCAGCGGGCTGCGAGCACAGACGGGGGGTTCCC